AATAATACCGATAGTAGAACCAAGAGCAAGCACGCTTCTTTCATTCTTCAATCGCATTTTCCCCGCGCGACTTTTGCGCACGCGGATCATCGATCATGATCGAGTCGTTACTGGATGGCTTTCGGTGACGTTTATTCGGCAACGAGCTATATATCTTATACGTATATCGTAGTGTTACGCGGATTATTACGTGACTAATTCCTTTGACGCAGAAATCGATCATCGGCCGCGCGAACGTTTTTCTTCTCCGTATCAATGCCCATTATTTTCGCAAGTTTCTCGTATGATATACAAACAGACGTTATTGTCATTTCGTTCCGTCGCTGCAACAATAACACGGTACTTCTGTAATCTTTCAACTATCTACGCGAGAGAAGAACAATTCTGTTTTTAAGCGATATATCGATTACCTTTGTGCCGATGAAACACTTTTATTATACCAATTTCGCGGTCGGATATCCTACAGATTATATTGTGACGATTAGATCGCGGTTTTTCTGCACTTATGACAAAAATGAGTAGATCATTGAAAACATTTGAAGAATTTGTAAATGCTACTTTGTTACAGCGAACTCGTTCAAATGAGTAGAAATCGAAACGGTTATTTCGCATAAAAATCCACGGTCTAGTAACGGTAGAAGGTAAAGGTTAGAACCAGTTTTAAAAATAGTTTGATTCGCTTGGACAGATGGCTTATGAAGATATGGCTTATAATATAAGCTTATATAATAATAAGCTTATTATGTAATAATAATATAATAATAAGCCTACTATAATGCAAACTTATATAATACAATAATGGCTTTTAATTTCGGTAAAACTGTAAAAGAAATCACTAAAAACAAGTCATTTTGACCGGTTTGATAGTTTTTAATGTTAAGAACATCTACGCGAGAAGAACAATTCTGTTTTTAAGCGATATATCGATTACCTTTGTGCCGATGAAACACTTTTATTATACCAATTTCGCGGTCGGATATCCTACAGATTATATTGTGACGATTAGATCGCGGTTTTTCTGCACTTATGACAAAAATGAGTAGATCATTGAAAACATTTGAAGAATTTGTAAATGCTACTTTGTTACAGCGAACTCGTTCAAATGAGTAGAAATCGAAACGGTTATTTCGCATAAAAATCCACGGTCTAGTAACGGTAGAAGGTAAAGGTTAGAACCAGTTTTAAAAATAGTTTGATTCGCTTGGACAGATGGCTTATGAAGATATGGCTTATAATATAAGCTTATATAATAATAAGCTTATTATGTAATAATAATATAATAATAAGCCTACTATAATGCAAACTTATATAATACAATAATGGCTTTTAATTTCGGTAAAACTGTAAAAGAAATCACTAAAAACAAGTCATTTTGACCGGTTTGATAGTTTTTAATGTTAAGAACATCTACGCGAGAAGAACAATTCTGTTTTTAAGCGATATATCGATTACCTTTGTGCCGATGAAACACTTTTATTATACCAATTTCGCGGTCCGATATCCTATAGATTATATTGCGACGATCAGATCGCGGTTTTTCTGCACTTATGACAAAAATGAATAGATCATTGAAAACATTTGAAGAATTTATAAATGCTACTTTGTTACAGCGAACTCGTTCAAATGAGTAGAAATCGAAACGGTTATTTCGCATAAAAATCCACGGTCTAGTAACGGTAGAAGGTAAAGGTAGAACCAGTTTTAGAAATAGTTTGATTCGCTTGGACAGATGGCTTATGAAGATATGGCTTATAATATATAAGCTTATATAATAATAATATAATAATAAGCCTACTATAATGCAAGCTTATATAATACAATAATGGCTTTTAATTTCGTCAAAACTGTGAAAGAAATCACTAAAAACAAGTCATTTTGACCGGTTTGATATAGTTTATAATGTTAAGAACATTTAATTTCAGCTTTAGAGAATTACGATTTTTGTAAGTTATGTCATTGTTGCAGCAAACGACTCGACGATTGCTCACGTTCGATGCCAAGAAATGGCGGGAAAGGAATCGAAAAAATTTTACTGTTAAAATTCAAATGTAATACGCTAGTTAACAGTTACAAGTGGTTGTATCATATTCGACGACATCGCCCGTGTTTCTCGCAAAATCATCAATAAATATGAAAAATCTGACTGCCGTTCGCCCCGCTCAGATTTTATACTTTCAAAGGTGATGTTACCTTTTGTGCCCAGAAACAATGCGTTTAACGCATGGAGAGACGACCGTCTTCGCGCGGCGACGATCGACATTCTGCCGCAGAGTGTTTTTAAAAAATGCATACGCCTTTTTTTTATGTAGATCTCGATTGTCGCATCGATTCACGCGTGAACGTTGAAAAAGTTTTCCCCGAGGGTTGTTTTATGTTGAATACGCGACGGTCGGACAAACGTATCCACCGCCGCGCACCTCGTTGATTGGCTTTACCACTTACAATTAATATCCTAGAATTTAAATATATATATTTATATTTATTCATTTATATATATAATATATATAGATTCATTTATTTATATATTTATACCAAAAAACATTCGTTCACAACGAATTAGAAAACATAAAAATTTAGCTAGGAGACGCATAGTACAATATAGTGGACTACACCTAACATCATTTTACTCTCGATTTATCTCTATCCATTCGAAGCCTTCCCGCGTCTCCGTCGTCTATATATCTCTCTCTCGCTCTCGTTCTCTCTCTCTCTCTTTTTCTCTATCATCGTTCTCGCCGTCTCATGCGCACACATCTCGCCGTCTTAATAAATCGTAGATAAATCGCATTAATATATTGCTTCGTCATCAGGTAGATGTTGCCTAAGCTTAACAATGACCGGATTACTCGCGTCTGTTACGCGGAGCAAAAACGACCGCGAGCTACCAATACCAACCAATCTAGTGTGAGAAACAACGACGACGATCGTGCACACCCCCGCCCGGGTTTACGCCGATCCGTCTTTATATCTCTCGAATGCCCTCGTTGTATCAACGCGCACGATCCACGATCCTTGCTCCGCGTAATTTCCGATTCGCCGTTGACTCGCCTATGGCTCGCGCGAGTCTGGTCGAAAGCTTATTTTCGTAATTCGCCTGGCCGGATCCACTCTCCCGCGAGCCTCGATCACACCCGGAACACGTTTTCCTCGATCGGCTCCGCGGGATTAAGAGATCGAGCGAGCGGTTCTCGCCCGGCCGGTGTGTGTGTCCAAGGAACGATCCGGCGAGTCGCTGGGCGAACCGAGCGAGTCCGTTCACGGAGTGCGCAACAATTTACTAAATTACAGAATGCCCAAGGTTACGAGTGCGTGACGAGAGGCTGGCGTTGGGGGAGGAATACGCTTTCTGCGAAGGGATTAAAAAGGGGGTTAAAAACGGGGTGAAAGGGGGGGGCGGGCTGCCGATAACGGAGGCGTGGAACCGATCGCGGAATGGATCCTACGAACAGGATGATGATGATGATGATGATTGAACGGTTCGCCGTGTTCCAAAGGATGTTCTTCCGCGAAATCACGCAACGAGTCGATTGTTGCGTTCTGCCACTGGAAAACCGACCGACAAACCGAACGCGGGCGTTCCCCCCGCGTCGTGTATGATACAACTTGAAAACGCAAAGCGTCGGAGATTGTTCGCGCGAGCGCGAGTTCGATCCCGAGAGCCTAGGGTACACGCGCGACGGACGCTGTCGTTCGAACGATTCGTACTCGTCAAAATTATCCGACGATTTTCTGGTACGCGCGCGCGCGCGCGCACAACGATACATCAGCTTTTATCGAAGGATCTTTGATCTCGTGTTTGATAAAACGGCGAGGGATGAACGCGTTTGGAAACGTAATCGACGGACTGCAGGCCTATGTGCAAATATATTAGGTCATTGAGTGTGAAATGTGAGGATTTTGTAGTAAAATTATGGAGTAAGGTATGTATTTCATACTTAATGACTTGATATCACCTTGATAAATTAAGTAAGCTTGTTCGTGGAAACGCAGAGATCGATTTGAAAGTCTGTAGCGATAATTAACGCCACTAAAAATTATCGTACCATAATTCTAAATAAGGCATCGAATGCAAAGAAAATAACGTAATATAATAATGACATAATTGAGCCGTTTAAAGCAGTAGTGGTGTAAATGAATGATTTTTGCCAGGTTGATTTAATATTTATTGAATCGTGTTTAATTTAATATTTTGTTTGATTTCTTTTTTTTTTATTATGTTAAGTTAGAGCTTACATAGAAGAATTGTAACAATTTCTTATGTACTTTGATTTTACGAAAATTTTAATTTATCCCTCATTACCTAGAAATTAACTTTTTTACCTTACACACCATTTTTGCTTCGAATGACTCAACTGATCACCGATTTAACACATTCAGTATCAACGAATTTCTGGAAAGAATTTGTGTTAAAAGAATTATAATGTGGAATAGTTGACTTATGAAACTATAACATATTTCATAATACTATTGGCTTGGAATGTTTCCGATTGAATTTGACAAATTGAATTTTTAATATTCGTGAAACATTATGGTATATTAGTGGCTTGAAATGATTTCAAATTAAATTCGACAAGCGAAATTTTAAACATTAGTGGAACATTGTAATATCATCGGTTTGAAATGATTTCAAATCGAGTTTCAATTTTGAACATTTTAATATAGCTTTATCATATTAATTAGCTGAAAACTGAGTTTGTTAAATGAGATACCAGAACGCCATAATTTTCCGTCTTCTCCTCGTACTGCAGCTAATCGTGAACGTACAGATGTTGCAAGAATCAAATTTCTCACACCTCCGATCCAAGCTTCAAACAATGCGGTGCCGCCTGCCTGCTGTCCGAAAAGTTGATGTATCGTTTCATATAAAATTCGCGAGCTGAAACCACAGAATTCTAGAAACACGGTCGAGAAGGTAAAGAATAAAATACCTCGAATTAGATTCGATAAAATGAAACCACCGAACGGAGGCGCGGTCGATAGAAAGCAACCGATTGAACACGTAGAAAATAAAAAGCTCGTTTGTATTGTCTGAGAAATAAAATATATTTATAAAAACAAAATGAACGCCTACAAAATAATACAGATCGTAAATATTACTCTTCATCTGCATAAGATACTCTTCTTCACTCTCGTTCATTCTTTCATTCTGTATTTTCGTGTCAGGTCGCGACACGTCAGATCTATAATAGCAAATACGACGAAGAAAAACATATATATACATGTACAAAAGAAGGAGGAACAGAAACCGCATGTGATCATCGCAGTAAACAATAAACGATACACATGTACAAATTTAATTCTCGCCATCGCGTCGGACTATTTTCGCGCGCACGCGCGCGCGCGCGCGTTCTCTTTCGAACAGGCCAACATCGTCGCGCGACGAAATCTCCATCCTCTTCTCAGCTATCAGATTTTTCTCCATTAATATATATTTGTGTGATATATATATATCAATATATCATATATACACGTATATGTATATGTATATATATATCATATACACATATATGTATATATTTATATATACATGTATATATATATATCGACTCTCTTAACTCTCTCATACAAATGCATACGTACATTTCCCATGCACACAGTGCATACACGCAATTAACGTTCTCTTGATTGCTCGCAAACGCTTACAGAATTCGTCTCATACACACGCTTATTATGGCACAAAACGAGGAATGGGCGTACACGGAAATACTTGTCGTTAGCAGATAAGAATTCCATCGACTTTCCCTTTCTTTCGTTACCTATCAGATTCTCTCCTCTCTCGCACGTTGGTACACATTCACTCGGTCATGCTCGCACAAGAATAATTACTTAGAATCTGTATCATTAGTTCTTTCTCAAGTTAGTTTCATCCTTCTATAGAAATGCCCACAAAATTAGAATCACACATGAGGGGAAGCACGCGAGGTTCTATTACATCTCATCGTTTTTGCTCTCTCTCCCTTTCTTTCGCTCGCTCTCTCTCTCTCTCTCTCTCTCTTATTTTTGGCACAACCAATGACAGTTTGGTACCGTGTGTATATATCTATATACACGTATCTATAGATAATATTTATATATATAATAATAATAATTTAGCACTCGCGTGCCGGAACAATTATTTTTTTACACTTAGAAATACGCTCTCTCGCACCAAAACGCGCTCACGGAACGAGCGAAAAATACTCACGATGCGCACCCTTTTATAATCACTAATAATGATTAAACATAATTAATAATGATTAGTGATAATTGATAATAATAATTATTATATTTATAACGTAAGTTATTAATAATAATAATAATAATAATAATACAGGGATTCAGTGGAACTGTACCTTTGCTCAAAACAAGTCTACAAAAAATAGTGTTCGCCGCTTCGTCGTCGCTCGCGAAATGTATCGACATACATCTCTTGCGATTGAATGCCCAAGTAGATTGATTTCGTTACGCGATCACACTACCATTCTCGCTCCCATCTATTTATCTATCTACCTATCCCCCTCTTTCTCTGTGTCGCAAAAGTAATATCTTCATCCAGATTACTTCTTCTCCTCCTCTTCTTCTTATTCTCTTCCTCTCGTCTTCTCTCCTAAACGCGTTTGCAAGACGAATGTATGACAATGATATGATTTTTCGGAAATATGTATATTCACACGATCGCTCCTGCTCTCTTTCTCTCTTGCTCCTGTAATCGTCGTCGCACCCTTTACTTTCTTTCTTTCTTGCTTCCTTTCATTCCACCATTATCCTTTAACTTTATGATTATTTAGTAATAAAACTGAATGTACAGTAATACTGTTTGATATGTCTCTAAAACGTACATCCATCTCTACAGGCCCCCTTCTATCGTCTCTCATTCTCTCTCACTCTCTCTCTCTCTTTCTTTCTTTCTCTCTCGTTTACATTAGATCCTATATGTTAAATGCTCTAATACACGACCGGCGGGCGACTCGAGGAACTTACGGGCAACAATAAAGAGGAAAGAGAATCTATTTTATTTCCGACTTTCTCCTTTATTTACTAATTCGAGAACGAGTGTAAAGATCACCAGGAATTTCGTGTAACAAGAATAAATATTTGTTCGGCGGATGGAATGTTCGAAATACTGTTTTTTTTCCTCGTTTCGTGGTTCACGGGTCACGCAAAGGTCATAATACCGGATTTTCGTTCGATTCATGAATGCGAAACAAAGAGCAATTATCAAAGTACGGTCGTCGTTCCGCTCGCACGGGTGCGCGCTCTCTCCCTACATTTTCTCTCCCTTTCATTTCTTTTTCTTTAATAACATTATTATTATTGCATTGGCTCTTTCATCTTTTCTTTCTTCCTTTCATTCATCGTTAAATTCCTGAACTCTGAGGTAGTCTGTTCTGGGTGTCATATTACGTAGTAAAAATGGCAAGAGTGCTATATAATTTATCGTCTTTTTGCTCGCTTTCCCGTATCATTTCTTCGTCACTTTTTGATACGAGACTACATTAAAAACGGAAATAAAAAAAAAAGGAAACTCGTGAAAGGACGTCTTAAGTGTGTTTATACCGCGTGTATGTGTTCGTGTGTATGTGTGTGTTTGTTCGTACGCGCGTAATTTTGTTTGTGTTCGCAACACCGTATCTCGTTCGAACGCGTTGCACGTAGTCGTATGTACAATTCTGCTTACGGCGCGAAATAATTGAAGGGTGAAACGCGCGCGTTCAAAAATGTAATTCACCCTCCTCTCCGCCCCCCCCCCCCGAAAACGTTGCACCGCATGATGCATCAATTTCCAGCGATTAAATACCGATATCGAAAACGAGGATGCCGTTCGATTATTTCGAGAGCGATACGCGTCATAAACGGACCTCGACGAAACAGATCGGGGGGTGGAGCACACGTCATTTAAAAGTTTAACGATTCCCGACCAATTCGTTTACGAATAATCATAAACGTTCCCGATGACTGTACAATTCGGAGGCTGCTATATGCCAAACAATTACGCGGCAGAACGATTACCTGCTAAAAAAACACCTAAGATCGATTCGGAAACGATCATTCACAGAAACAATTGCACGGAAAATAATTACGCGAAATTATTGTTACCGGAGAGGTGAACGGTTACTTTACACTGCGAGGGTGTGAGCGTGTGCGTGCATGAGTATGAAATTCCGTGTGTGTGCCTGTGTGTGTGTGTGTGTACGTGTGCGTGTAACAAGCTGTGCGAAGCTCGAAGGGAAATTCGCTCGTGTCGCGAGAGAGATGAGACCCGTTCCTATCCTCGATGATCGGCTCGTTTCGCGCTCCGCGGGCAATTAATCGAGCATTAATTGATCGTACGTCACAGTGCCACGCAATTAGATGCATCACGCTGCGCGGGATACCAGAACGATTATAAATCGATCGAACGAATTACGGCCGAATCAATCGCGGCGCGTTCGCGCGTAAATTCGCGGCGGCCGAAAACGATAACCGAAGCGAACCATCATTTCCGCGTGGAATTTGCAAAAGTGTCGGAAAAACGTCGCTGTCTGCCGAATAAATAAAAACACCAATGAACGTTTCCATGTTCGATCGGGCGTAAAAATAGCGTTGTTTTATTCGGGATGGAACGACACGAGCAAGATTCATTCCGGGCAGCGTACAATTCGGAACTTACGCTATCTTAGAATTTAAATCAAAAAAGGAAAAGACGCCACGGCGTGGCGGGGGATTCGCGACCAATGGAATGTATATTGCGAGCCTCTTCTGGAATGTGAAGCACTTATCGGGAGGTTCGTCGTGAAAATTCAATTCAGCTCGTCAAGTATGTACAGTGGAATGTAATTTTTTCACCTCTCGACAATTTCAGCGAAAAGTACACAAATAAACAGAATAAACGGGGCAACGAAACAACGCGACGAAAACGCTGAAACATACATTTAAGAAAATAATAATAATAATAATAATAATAATAATGTCAGAGGTTATACAACAAAAGTTTGCCACGTGCTCGCCGTCGCGTCTTTTCGCACGATTAACTTTGCTAATCGTTCGCGTCTTTTCTTCGCGATTTCACTCCCGACAACGTGCACGCTACTTACGCTATCGAATACGAATATTATGAATAAGTTTAATAATCACGTTCTATACGATATTGAGTTGAGTTGAATTAATTACAGTGATAATACGTCTATACAATTAACATATTTTGTACAATTGATAAGCTTCGAAGGTTCCAACGTCGCATTAGAAATCTCCGTTGCGCGTTTTTCGGAAAGTTATTATCGTTCGAGAGTGCGTGCGATTGTTAAAAAGAAAAAAAAAGTGGAAAAAAAGTGAACGTCATGACGGGTTTGAGTTTTTTGTTTTTCGAAACGGAAGAGTCGCGATCCGTCGAGTCGAGCAATCGACAACGGAACAAAGACAAACAAGACGTTCCCCTGGCAATTATTCGCGATCGACTCCGCGTATCGCGACTCGTGGTGTGTAAAAAAACGATAAATCAATTGGCTGCTTTTTATTTGCTTGTTCGCCGAGCTCTCGCGATCGAGTAGCAATCGGAAATGTTCAAATTCTAGACAGCCCGCCACGCGTCGATGTTCCACACCGAATTGTCTGCTCTCGTTGGAACTTTGTAAAAAATGCACCTCGAGTAAAAAATAAAAAAAAATAGTCCCGAGTCGGCGATTCAAATAAATATATCACGCAGTTGAGCAAAAACCACACAGACATCATTCCCGAGCATCGCCCGGCTCATTCTTCTCTAACTCGCGAGAGTTGCGCGTATGAAAAATTGTCAACTCTGAGATATAACAACGATCGACCAATGAACTGCTTAAAGAAAACGGAACGTAATACTTTTCTTCTGTACAAACGAAAACAACAGTACGAAGGGGGTTAAATGGTTTTCTACCGGGTGTATAAAATCGAATGACAAAGATAGTCGAGTTGCCTTAAACGTGAAAAGTATAGAATAAATACAAATCTGATCTCACGTTCGGCTGGGTAACACCACCCACGTGACTCACAGTGTGTCCCCATGATCGATGATAACGCGCGCGGATCATCGATTTCACCGAGGTCGCGTGCGCGCCCGCGAGAACGATCGCGCGCGGCATAGACGATCATCTCACCTTTCGATAAACAAACATTGAAGATCATCAAAGCGTAGATCATCGGATAACGAGGCGGCGTGTGTTCCACGACGACGATGCGAGTCCCTTCGAACTTTCGGAATCACGTCCGCAGATGGACGTTGTGGTTGTTGGCTTTCTTTTTGTGCGTTTCGAGGTGCTTCATCATGTGGTCCTTCCTGATGAATCCCTTGCCGCAAGTATCACAGGCGTACGGCTTTTCGCCAGTGTGGAGGCACAAGTGCCGTCTGAGGTCAGTTTTGTGGTTGAACTGCTTGGGACATACGTCGCACTTGTACGGCTTGTCGCCGGCGTGCTTCTGCAAGTGCTCCGCGTGCAGGTACTCGAGGGGGAACCTCTTGCCGCACTGATTGCATTTGAACGGCTTGTCGCCGGAGTGGAAGCTCTTATTGTGTTGCGTTAGGTAGCAGGCCTTGTTGAAGACCTTGTCGCACTCGATACACTTGTGAAAGCCGTCCTGGGAAATGTAGTGCGAGCCGGTGTTCGTGCCGGTCACCTGCTCCTTCTTCGCCGCGTTCTTCTTGCCTTTTGATTTGCGAGTCTTCGTTTGTTTGCCGACGTTCGGGTTCACTTCCTCCTTCCCTTGGATCTGCTGTTGTATGTTGTTGTTCGCCTCGAGATGAGCACGGACGTGCTCTTGAAGCGGCTGAGGCGAGAGATGCGTCTGGATCTGATACTGTTTGATGATCATACCGCCGTCGGTGTTCGGCTGCATCTCCACGTTGGTAAGGGCCTCGTATCGAGGCGGAGGACTCGTGTACGGATCGTAGGCCGATCCAGGTGAGTTATACGACGAACTGTCTTGAGGAGACGCGTTCTCCCCCGGACTTAGCCCCCCCACGTTAGCGGCCTGAGGTTGGTTCTGGCCAACTAAATACCCGGTTACCGAGTTGAACTGGGTGAAACTCGGCAAGGGTCCCTGATGGTTACTGAAGGTCCCAAAACCAGGTAAAACATCCTGAGACAGCTGCTGCTGCTCCTGTTGCTGTTGCTGCTGTTGTTGTTGTTGTTGGAGCTGCTGCTGCTGGTGGTGGTGAGAATCCTCGAGCTGAGGTTGATTCGGGTAGCTCATAGACAACTCATTACCAGTAGTAGTTAGCTGGATGGTGATAGACTCCAGCAGTCCCGGGATGTTGGTAGTAGTTGTAACGTGGGGGGGCAAGGCGTTTGGGTACGGCTGATGAGGCATCGTAGTACCCCCCATCGTTGTGGGCGAAGACATTGCTGGATGTACCGAGCCCGACGTTATTGGAGACGGCGAATTCATGTGGTGCGGGTGGGACGATCCTATTGGCGAAGGCGAACTCAGGTGGGGCAGCGGTGGTGGGTGCATGGGCGATATGGGTGAACTCATGGGAAGGTGGACCGGAAGCTGGCCCGACGGCGAACCCATTGGCAGGTGATGAAGTTGCTGTTGCTGGTGGCCCAGCTGATGGGACGGGGAACTCATTTGTTGCTGGTGGTGGCCCGCCATTGGTGATTGCGTCGGTGAACTGTGCGACGGCACCACCATTGTTGAGCCCAAGTGGACTGCCGAAGGCTGTTGTTGCGTTAGGGCCACCACCACCGAAGATTCGCTGCTGCTGCTGCTGCTGCTGTTGGTGCCGTTGTTGGAATTGTTGTTGCCGTAGAGACTGATGGTTGTGGGCGTGTGAAGCAGGCCCCTCGCTGCCTCTCCCGAGGGACCTGCCATCAAGTTTGGGGGACTCCCGGAAGCGGATAATTCTGGTGATCTCGATGGTCCCCCGCCTCTGCCGCTCCCGGAATGATTGTCCCTACCGGGATGATGATGAGCGCTGATAGGCAGGTTAGCGGGATCAGGCTGATTGCTCTGTTTCACCGCGTTCTTATGCAGCGTGGTATTGTAGTGTCTCTTCAGATGTCCCGAGCTGGTGAACCACTTGTTGCACGCGGTGCAGTTGTAGGTCTTTGGTCGTCGCGCCTCGTTACTTTTCCACGATTGGTTCGCCAACGGCGGAGGTTTCGGCGGTTGTTGCAGAAGACCCGCGGGCATCTGATGCCCGGGCATCGGCTGCGTGCTCGTAATGATAGGTGATCCGGGATGGCGGGGTGATTCCACAGGTATGTGTTGCCCACGCATAAACTGACCCTGATCCGACAGCGGCGAGACACTGTCCATCGGGCCCATCGGCGACAACCCTGGATGATAATCGTGCGGCTGTGCGGTCGGTGGCCAACCGAGCATAGAACTCACCGAGTGCGGTCCAGTCCTTTGCTGGTGTTGATGTTGCTGTTGCAACACCTGCTGCTGATGTAGCTGCATTTGCAGCTCCTGCTGTTGCTGCTGATGAAGCCTCATCAGTTCCTCCTCGTACCTATGAGTTTGGACTTTATGAGAGTCCAAATCCAAGATCTCGGCTTGCTCTTCCGGCTCCTGCTTCACGTCAGACTTTATCGCTTGTCCGCTATTGTAATCGTAGCCAGCTTGCTGTTGTTGCTGCTGCTGCTGGACGGGCTGCGGCGGCGACGTATGCATCGTCTGCTGCTGTTGATTCTGCTGATGCTGCGGACTGGTACCAAGCTGTTGGTACTGGTGCGGACCCGGGTACCCACTAGGTGAATTCGAATGATTCGTCCTTACATGTTCACCGAGTTGACTCGCGTCCTCGTACACAGCACCGCACTTATCACACTGAATCGGTGGGCTTCTTGGACTAGTGGAACTAACCGAGCTAGTACGTTCCGAAACAAAATGTTGCTGATGCTGGTATGGATGGTAGCGCGAATAACCAACGCTGACAACACCACCACCACCACCGCCACTACCACCAGCACCGCCACCACCACCGCCGCCGCCATTGTTCTGCGTCTCATCATGCGGCGGCGAGTAATGATGGGGCAAGATATAGGCCGCTTCGTTCTGCATAAAATAGGTTGATTCGCCGTACATTGGTGTCTGGAAATGATTGTAACTGTGACCGGCAGATTGCTGCTGCTGTTGTTGTTGCTGCTGCTGCTGCTGCGGCGGCGGCTGCGGCTGCTGTGGTTGTTGTTGCTGCTGCTGCTGTTGTTGCTGCTGCTGCTGCTGCTGTTGTTGTTGCTGCTGCGGCTGCTGTTGCTGTTGTGAAGACGAAGGATCTTGGGAGGGCGGTCTCGAGGAAGCCTCGCTCGAATCCGCCGGCGCGGTCACGCTGTCGCGTTTGACGCCCACGTGACTATTGTGATTGCCAGCTTTGCTATTGTTATTATTGCTCTCCTCCTGCTGCGCCTGGCTCGCCCACTGACTCAACAGATTCTCTTGGTGGTAGCGCAGGTGCACCTCGAGACTTTTATCGCTTTCAAAATAGAGGCCACAGTCCTTGCAATGATGCTCCGGATTCGAACTGCCGCCCACACACTGTTGTTGTTGCTGCTGCTGCTCGACACTCGTCATTTCACTCATATTGTCTCTCTCGCACGCGTGTGCTCTCCCCCCCTCTCTCTCTCTCTCTCGTTCTCTTTTTCGCTTCCGCTCGCTTTTTCCTGATTAATCGGAGCCCGGGGGCGAGGCGCTTCGTCCCTTTTTAGATTTCGCCGCAAGCACAGAGCACTTTGGTCCGTAACAGAAAGTGCGGACAAAAACGAACGATGCACACCCTCACACAATCGGCGATATCCTACTGCACATTGGCGCGCGTGAACGCGCTCGCGCTCGCGCGGAGACCCTGTGTAACAGTCTGACCTCCGCGTGTCGCGTGTCCCGTTTGCCGATTTTTTTTCCACTTACCGGACTCTCGAAACCCGATAAAAAACCGACTACGTGCAGTGAGAAAACTCTGCGAACCGTTTTGGATGCGCTTGGCCGGGGAGCAGGAACACGTGCGTCATGTAGCGACGTCTCGCGCCTCCCTCCTTTCAGCCGTCGACGACCACTGCTGGCACGGGTTTCCTCGCGTAGAGCACATGGACGTTGCTGCCTCTGTTGACGCGCGAAACAGGAGTCACGTGTGCTGCTGTCGCCGATGCTCTCGCCGTGATCAACGATACTGCGGGACGGGGAACGGCCGAACCGAACGGAAAACAAAACGGTAAAAACAAAAAAAACCGGGATGCAACGTGTTCTACATTTATCATATGCTCGCACATACGCCAGGCACCAAAGTCAAAATCAACCCCGATCGCTCCACCTGGTGCGACGCCGAGTGTATCACTGCCTGCGGCATCGTCACCCTCGCGCCTCGACGATCGGCCGACAATGACGATGTCCGGTCACCACCTGTATTTTGCACGTTTCCTCTTTGTCAAATCGCGTCCACCGACGCCGAATGGTCACTAAAAGTCCACGGACGAGCTTCGGCTGTTCGCTCGCGGGATACCGAATCGAAAAGTAAACAAAAAAAAAATAAAGAGCGAGGTGTGCGCGGAATTTACATATTACGTCGATATCCTTCTACACCCGCGGTCTCACTCGTACCCGACGCGCACTGTCCGACGACGACTAACCGACGTTCGACTTTAAGCAGTCCAACGACAATCGGAACTCTCTGTATTCGAATCATTGGTTATCGCGAGCTATATCACTTCACTTTTCTCATTCGACTTGTTTGTATAATGCCGGTGGAGATAGAGGGCGACGGTACTGGGGTGTTGTTGCACGATTCTTCGGGACCGTGTTGCTTAGCGGAGGATACGGAGGCGGAGGATCCAAAAGATTTCGTACGATCGAATTCCGGAACACCGCGACAACACAACGCCGAGTACAATACGGCGACGCGGACACGCGGTTTATCCTTCGAACTGCGATTGTAAATAGCCTTAGCCGATCGTCCTCAACCTCGTGTCCCTCTCCCCCCTCTACCGCCGCTCGCCCCCTCTCGCAGGACGCGTCGCTCCGCTTGGTCGTTTGCTCTTTCACTCTATACGGTACACACACTCTCCAGACCCGCGTCGTACGACCGCCGGCACTGTTCTGTGGATTGGAATTCCGGAGTTCCGAGTCCTCGGGCTCGCGCCAAGGCACTGCTCTCTCCCCCTTCCCTTCAAGCCGTCGTCGCCGCCCCCTCTCCGCCGTCACTTGCTAGCGTTCGCACTGGCTCTTTCTGATCTTCGGAACTCTCTCCTTCGCACCGACTTCTCTCCCCTTCTCCTCTCACCGGAGAACGGAGTGCCTCTCTCTCTCTCTCTCTCTCTCTCTCTCTTGGCGTACCTACTCCAACCTTCTCCTTGCTTTTCCCTCCTTCACTGTTCTTAATGTTACTCGGCCGATCGGACTCTCTCGTTCCAGCCCGCGCTATCGTCTATACGCGCGTCTCTGTTTCGAGCATCTCCCACCCTACCCTTCCCTTCTTCGGTTTACCGGATCGCCCGTCTTCGTTCGACCCGACCAGCCACGTTCGTTCCCTCTCCTTCCGACCGATATCCTTCCTCCTCGTTCAAACCCTCCACGAACCTCACTGCTCCTCTCCGTTCCGCCGCCCGTGGAACCTCCTTTTCCCACCTAGTACCTTCGCGCAGCGTCCCCTTCCTTCGACGTAGCTCAGACACGAGCGAGAAGGAAAGAGCGAGCGCGTCGCGAGAGCGAGAGAGAGTGCCGGCGGTGCTCGAGACAGCCAACCAAATTTGAGACGTCGAGCGCTTCTTGCCCCCACCAGATCTTCCGCGCCTCTCTACCCTTCTATTACAGTCCACGGTTCCTCTCCGGCTCGCCTCTCTTACTCGCCGACGACTTTCTCTGTCGCCCTTTCGCCCAAAAGGACGACGAATCCTACAGGACGGCGAGAGCGTTTTCCCTCCTCGTCTGTTCTCGCTCTCTTTAAATTCCTCCTCTCTTTCGGCCGCAACGAACGCTCTGTTGTTCTTCTTCAGCGCCCTCTGTCCTCCCGGCCCCGTCCTTATTCGTGGCTTCGTCTTCTTCTTTCTCGCAGTCGAAACGCGAAAAAAAACGAAACGGAACGCGCATGGCACACAGGAATCCTTGCGCGGCCGTATCCACGGCGCTCTATCCTTACTACACGCTAAACTTTATCCGGCGAGATTTTTCGGAACTCCGCGCTTTCCCGCCAGGATACTAGCGAACGCCGTTTCCTCTCTTACTCGTCCACTCGTTCGCCTCCTTCTCCTCCTCCTCCTCCTCTTCTTCTTCTTCTTCTTCTATTTTATACTCTTGTTTCGTTTCCCTCGTTTTACCTGCGATATGCTCGCGAAGGACAAGCATCCCGCGCGCCCGCGAGATTGAATATCTCGTCGCTTTGTCGTTCGTTCGAGTTTCGGCTGTCAGAGGTCGCTGACCATTTCCAAATTAGCCACGGCTATCCTTGGGCATCCTTCGCGCGGATGCGTCCTTCGCGTTCTCCTTACTACGGAAACTTTGCGCGTACAAATTTCGACGCGCACCTGCTGCTATTCTTTGATTTCGAGCTGAATAGTTGACGCTGCGGGCGTTTGTTTCATCTATGTTTCATGGACTTTCGCTGGAAGGAGATTTAACACGTTGAATGCCACGGGGGTCACCGGTGACCGGCACTTAACTTAGCGGTGACGCTGTGGGGGCCACCGGTGACCGGCGCGCCCAAATTGATAGAAATATATATATAATTTAAAACAAATGTCAATATCTAAAATTTTGTATTATTACCATCGTCGATTCAAACAGTGACCCCTATCGCAATTAACATGTCAAACATGGTTGTACACTGTAACTTATCTATTGCAGATGATATTTCAACATTATATGTATCGCATAAAAGAAAATTCATCGTGGCGCCACGGACAATTTCTGTAAAACCAGCGTGGTATTCAACGTGTTAATGGTCTATGGCCATGACTAGCCTAATCTATAGCCTAATGGCTTGCAGTGAAACCTATAATAATTATTATTATATTATTATATTATTATATAATAATTTCATTTACTCTCTATTTTCAACGCTTATTCTATAATATGCTTCCAACTGCAAATTTATGTAACTTGTACGATTAGCAGACGAACTGACTGCTGTGTCGCATCCTCGCATCCGGAGACTTACGACTTCACGACACGCGAATCGTTATTAAAAAGTGTGCGAGACACTAAAACAAAAGCACACGGTGTTCATCGAAAGCGTGAAGTACCAAACTGGCTTCTTGATCCTTGACTCCGATATTCAGCGTTCGAATGACAGAAGGGGGGCCAGTAAAAATGGTCAGATCATCGTTCAACACAATTTCCACATCGCTCAACTTGTCTGCATCGTTCTACCTAAAATTAGTTCTACCTAAAATCGCGAGCAGCGCAGCTCTGTTCTTTCGTTCATGGTGCAGACACGCGTCCTGGCAATCGAGTACAACTTTCGCGTACAATATTTCAACATTATATGTATCACATAAAAGAAAATTCATCGTGGCGCCACGGACAATTTCTGTAAAACTGACGTGGCATTCAACGTGTTAAACGAATGCTCGGCGATTCTCGAAGCTCCAATCCGGTATCTGTCAATCGGAGTGAGTATAATTTAGCTGATTTTTAGCGACATCGCGCAATAACGAAAGCACGATTACATGTTTGTTCTCTGTTGGTAGGTCTTGCATCTTCGTAGAAGTTGTTATCGGTTTCTTAATGCATGGGAATAGATAATCGGTGATTCGCAGTTGATCATCGTTCCGTTTTCTCGCAAATTCAATCGGTTACCTTTGCTTTTAGATATTCAACAAATGAACTTTTCACTCGCACCGATAAGAATCATAAAACTGTTTCTCTTTCTTTTGTTTCTCGAAAGGAATTTGCACGCTGAAAAACGGAATTTTAGAATTGATTACGGATTGAACTTGAACGTTATATTTCTTCTCTGAAATTGTACGATGAACTGCGGAACTTGTGAACGAAATTGCATATAAATGCGAATTGAATAAAGATTACCGTCTCGAAATTTGTCAGCCATGTTTTCTTGTCGTTAACAGGAGGTATTATAACTATATTCGATCCTTAGTAAGCTCGTAATTAAATACAACAATTAAGATATCGGCCAGTAAAGTGCTTAAAATTGTAAACATATATTGTATGGGACACTCTGATTCAATAATGAGTCACCGCTAAATATTTAACAGTGTCATAATAAATAGTGAGTTGAGTCTGTGTAACGGACAAAAAGTTGAACACTAATGATAATAAATGCTTCCATCGAAGAGAACCATCCGGGTCACAAAAATCTCCCACATTAGCAAGTACTTTGCGATCTCCATCATTACCCTAAGCGCATTGAAATTACTACTATTCAATTACTTATCAATTACAACTATTCCTGTGATAATTTAATGCGACTCCACGCAGCTCATTTCGGCGCACCCGTAAAGGAAACGAGATCTCCATCGATTCTTGAGCGCATTCGAAAATCCTTTTCCGCCGTGTTAAATTAAAAGCAACGAGTAAACGTGTCGTGTCTCACTTTCAATTCCCCCTCGACGGGGGGCGTTTTGTCTCACGAAATTACCCGCTTAACAGGTTCAAAGCGGCCACGAGCCTTCGCTGTAGGTGTCTGCATAAAAAGTGCGTCGGTATTATTCACCGATAACCAAACTCTCTGCCTCTCTCTCTCTCTTTTTTCCTTTCTCTATCTCTCTCTCTCTTTCTTTCTCTCCCCCATCCTCTCTCGTTCACTCACTCGCTCTATCTTGCTCTTTCTCCCTCTGCTGTTGGACCATATCCCACCTCCCTCAATTCCCTCGATCGATGCCACCCCGCAACAGCCGCGAAGCTGCTCGACGGGGAGAGAATAAAAAAAAATGTGGGTAACCTTGCATTTTTTTATGATACCTTTTTTTCCACGTGACGAAGCGGGTCCCCGTGGCCCGTGCACTTTGCATACGGAATGCGACAAGTCCCTCTCCCCCGCCCCTTGAATCGACCATCCCCCCCTCCCCGCCACTCCCGTTCTCATCCGGCAAGATACGCACCTCCCTCCCTTCCACCTCGCGCCACATTATTCCACCTATGAATATGTTTATTACGTTGCACCGCGGCCACCTGATGCAAAAAAGAAATTTGGCCCGCGTGTGGCCGACCAGGTACCGGCACGTGCTGTCAAGATGGATAAACGTCAGTCGCGTTCTCGCGCCGTCCAGCATCCTTTGATCTCGATACAATTATATCGTCGAACACGGGACTGATTAGTAATCGCTGTTTAACGACCCCCCATTAACGACGGTACGCTCGTCCAAGATTGTCGAAAGACCGTGCCTTTTAATCGTTACGTTTACCCCCGGTGTTTAAGGATTTGACAGGCTCTCTTTCAAGCCCAGTTTTTTAACGCTTTCACTGCTGTCCTCCATACATGGCACAAGCGGAATTCTTTTCTTTTTATTTATTTATTTATTTAACGTCGTATCTGCTTGTTAGCAATTAGCGACCATTTGTGGAATAACATTTGTAGGTTACGCGTAATGTAATATACAAGTTTTGCATTACGTTTTACATAATTTTCTTATTCTAGGCTTCTCAAGTTACTATAATTTCGCTAAACAATTTGGTTTCTTCGAAGTACGACATAACTTTTGCTGTTTGTTCGTAGTTGTCCAAACATTCTTTGACGGTATCGGGCATTTTTACTTTTTTTTCTAATATTGTTGTACACTGAACATTCTATTAGGACTGGGGTGTCAAACTGAAAAGCTAAAGAGTATACCAAAGGTCGAATCGGAATTGCAGTAAATATTCGTTCGAATTTGCTATTGTTCCATTTACAAAATGCTTGATTTCTTACAAATCCCGTCCCGTAGTTGGTGAACTGTAATGGCCGCATAAGAAATTGTTCTTTGATTATCCGTATGTACGTTGACGTCGTATGGTTTTCTTCGAGATACAGTAATTTCACCGGGAAATGCCGTAATTCGGATTGCCGTGAATTTTCATGTGCTGGTCCTACGCTTATGTAATTTACTGTTGCTAAGAATCGACGAAGTTCCCGCAAGACAGGTAAGAAAAGTCGTGCCGTCTGGCATCGAATTGCCTTCGAAT